ATACAAACAGACATTCAGCTTTATATATAAGATAGTAACGGGTTACTGTAACCAAGGTACAGTGCTTGCAAGATACTGTAAGAGCTTGGATGCGTAAATTCACTAAGATCTGATTCTTTTGTTTTTCAGCTTTGTTTTGTGTCATTATTCATAATAGCAGACATTTGAGTGTCATGCATATGTCTGCTGTTTTGCCGCGCAAGGATAATCCTACCGGATGTGGGCGTGTCGCGCACATATGCAACTATTCAGAGTCAGATAATGACTGGAAATGGTCATGCTGTCAGCTAGAAGCCGGGGTGGGGGGGGGGGGGGCGGGCAAAAAATATCCCCGCGGACTGTCTAGCCGTTTTGATAAAACGCACATCCAGCAATTCATTGAGTCATCCGCAAAAGGCAGCGCCGATCATCATCGTTCGTCTTTTGACCCAGATCGAGTCCCCCCCCCCCCCGTGTCCAGCACCCGTTACCCGACCGTAGCGACCGAACCCCGCACATTCGTAGCGTCGACGCCCCGACACAACCGCCATTTTCGAAGATTGAACACCACGATACAATCCCATAAGGTACGCCGCTATAGGTTTACTCCCCCCCCCCCCTCCCGCCTCCAAGAGCGACCCATTTGCAAATCATCAAAGAGACAAGGGGGAGGGAGCTATTGCGACTTCAACAGCGGAAAGCGACTGGACTGTTGCGATCTTATCGCCTCACAATCTGAAAATGCCTCCAAGTTTTCTACTACTCATATTCTTAAAATATTGCTTGTTCTTATAGACTACTACTTTTCTGTTTTTTTATTTATTTATTTATTTATTTATTTATAAGCTGCACTCGTAGGTGCGCCGAGATAAAGAATACAGAGTAGGACATCTTGAACATGACAATTACGTTCCCACGGTGAAGTAAAAGCAAGTCTCGTCTCCTTGGGTGGTCAGGTCGTTCTCCATCTGCAGACGGTGTGACGTCCTAGACCGAAATCCTGGTCCCCATCCCGAACGCGGGTTTGAATGATGGAACCAGGGCTCGGATGACCGACTTAACCCGAACGAAAGAGTTCGTCCGGGACCCTGGGCGAGCGAATGAGGGGGATCTCAAGGTAGTGGGACCACCAATCGTTGATTTCCTTGAACGGCTATTCCCATTGGAGACGAATTAAACAGCAGAAAGCTCACGGGAACATGAGTGTGAAATCAACAAACCAAACAAACAACAAAAAACCGAAATGCATCGCAAAATGGAAGAGCTCTAAAATGAAAATAGAATTTCTAATAATAGGAAATGTCACTGAGTCCTGGCTGACTCGAAATCGGAGAACCACCGTCTCGTACTACCATCTCCTAAGCAAGTGGCGCAGTCTAAACATCTGAAATCTTTAATGCTTTCAGAACATCGATCTGAGCCAGTCTTTGCCGAAAAACTTTTGAATTGATGCTGGCTGTAATATCGGTTGGTAAGAGGCTAAGCCATCTCGATGTTCGGAAAACAAAGGAATTAAATGCTTTGGAAAAGATTCTGCTTTTCAGCCGTCTGTAGCCCATGTTGAGCCCACCTACGCGACTGCTACAAGGTCTAAAAACCCAGTACTTGCTGGTTTTTCTTGTACAATATCACTCCGACTAAAAGAATTATCCGTGATTTTACAGGAGAATAAGTGCTTCCGAGTTTTCCTGCAAAAATGCAACTCGTAGATATTTTTGTTCTAGAAATTTCCACCTAGGTTTTTTGTATATCTTTTTGTGAAAATGTAGATAGTCATTTGAAAATAATTCAACTATGTACCACATTGTGGTGGAGTAATTTCTATAATATCAATTAGCTGATTCATCCTTCCACATCTTCCTTCGCTCAGCTACATCCTCATACAACTGACAGGAACTTCCGCAGAGCGTTTGGGAAAGTTCCGTTGGGTCACCTGCGGAAGTTCCGTAAACGTGCTGCGTAAGTTCCTAAATTAGGTGCTGCGAAGGTTCCGAAGAATGCCAACCACAAGGCAAAAGATAACACCTTAGCGAGATTCGAAGGATGCTCTATTGACTGTGAAACTCACTATTCCCTGTACCACATACATGTTTACCAGTTGTAGTTGAGACAACATCCTGAAAGAAAACACATTTGAAGTCCTGCGGAAGTACTGGAAAGCCATAGTGTTGCGGCATTTTTCGGAATTTCCGCAGCGTTGTAAAAAGCCTTGCGAAAGTTTCCGTTTTCAACCAGTGGAAATCTTGCGAAAGCTCCCTATTTTAACGTTTCCACTTTTGTATTAGTAGACAAAATCCTGCGGAACCGCTGCAAATTTTGCTTGTCTTGCGGAAGTTCCAGTGAATTGTCTGAGTTTTCAAAAAAATAGGATTTGCCCTTTAGCGAAAAAAATTGTTTTTTCATGATTTCGCTCCCACATATCATGGACTTCCTGTTTCTCTTTTTCGTCAGATATGTTTTTGAAAAACTATTACTATATGCCCCTCTCTTTAAATTAACAATATTTCATTATTTGTGAACTTTATCCTGACTCTCCTTTTCTTTGCTCAGTATTATTTCTAGAAAAAATACATCCTGCCCTTTACTAAGAAAACATTTCTTTCGTGTTCTTTCCCCCTAACTCCCCTAACTTTTGTCCCTCTAATGAAGGCCTAGTCCCCCGACCGCTATTCTCTTTACACGTGTTTTCCTCGCTAAAGTAGGCGACTTCAATTAGCACGATTTAGTCAAGGCCTTATTCCGGTTGTTTACGCGAAATTACACACTTATTAATAATATGGTTCCGTATTAACGGAGTGGTCGTTGTAACAAACTTGCTTCTTCTATCAAGATCATTTTTTGGCTGTACATTTTTTAACCATTTTTTCTGATGCATTAATGTCGTAAAATCTGTTGTGGAAGGCCTGTTTTCTTTGAAAAATACAGCAATTGCAAAACAATAAAATTCTGCAGAAACTATTAGGTTGGTACGTGTTTTGCGACTTAATTTTTAATTTCGTAACTTTTCTTTTTTGGCTGTGACGCATTCATTTTTGGGCATAATGTAGTACTTTCAAATGAGGATAATTTACGCATTTTTCATAAGCTAGTCAAATCCGAAAATTCAAGGGGAAAATCAAAGACAAAGCCGACCATTTGTGTTGACTTCATGCCATATTAGATTGACTCTTTCAGTCTGCATTAAAATTCTTCGAAAAAACCGCAACTCCTACTTATTTGAAGATTCTAATCGATATGCTATAATTTAAATAGAAGAAACCACGCGTTTTAATTCTCACAGGAAAAGTATTGTTGTTATGTCATAAAAATTAGAACTGACAAAAAGAAACATTATATATTCTCAAAATTTTACTCCTCAGAACGCTAGAAGATTCACTTTTGATTTTTGATCTTGAGAGTATCTGTCTTTCTTACTAAAAAAATATATTGTTCAGACGTCTCTGCGAAAACTCTCGCGATTTCTGAATTTTTTCGAATTTTAATTCGGTGCAGAAAACTTGCCAACGTATATGTTAAATAACTACCAGTGGTACTCAGGATTTTCGTTCGGGGGGGGGGGGGGGAAGAGGGGGGCGACAGAAATTTTTTCCGATGAAGCTGCGCGTTAGCGACTCACTCAAAATTTTTTGGTATTCTTCCCAAAATTTTCGCGGGCCCAAAACCCGGAAGAAATCTTTTTGTTGGGCTAAATTGGATTTTTAAAAAATTTCAAAAAGTATATTAATTATTCACAGCATGAACAAGTCACTTGCGCATTTCTATAACACATGTAAATGTTAGATAGGTTGAAACGGTTGCTTAACTCTTTCTGGACGATTTTTTGAAAAAAAAAATTCTTTTTTTGCAAACCTTTGTCCCAGTCTAGCAGACGCCATTATATAAACACTGCAGTTAGAAGCGCTCAATTGGAATTGTGCCAGTTTTTTTGCAGTAGTTATAAATTTCTTGTATCGTATCCAGATTGTCTCTTCCCTCCCAGTTACACGGATACAATTTTATGCATGCGTTTCATATGTGTTAGTAATAATCCAAGAATCTAATTTTTTCCAGGCCTTTCTTCCGGATCTTTTGTAATTTCGTTCTTTCAATTCTGTTTCGTGTGGCCTCTTTACACAGTCGTTTGCAATTTTGTGGATGTACTGAGGCGTAATCCGCGAAAATTGCCCAATCGTACCGGTTGTTTGATGTTCACTCGTATTGACGTTTCATATCCTTTCACAATGGTTGTCCACTCGCGAAACGAAAACTTTGAGTCAATTTTGTGATCTTTGGTAAAAATCGACAAACTTTCAATTCATTATACGCTTGAAGATGAGAATGCCATAGGATTTACTTTTCATACTGAAATTGGCAGTGGGAGAACGAATATAACCGTTGGGGCAGCCTTCCTAGACTACTGGTCCTTTCCCGCATGCTATTGCATTTCGAAAGAGGATCAGTAGTCTCTAGAGGCGGCGCATAGCGGAATTCGTTCCTCTAGCTAAATTTGGCCAATAGTGGCTTAGGTCTGCGCAAGAGATTTTGAGCTAGAGATCATAAAAGCAAATTACACCACCTTGATACATCAAATTGGCGTAAATTATAGCGAAAGTGGTGCGTGACCATTTTTCCTCCCATTCTTGCAAATCCTTGTTAAATATTACCTTAAATTATTCCTTTTTCACTGACATTTGATGCTGTAAGAGGGCAGAGGACGGTATGGAGGTTTGCGCGGACATTTGCAACAAACCATGTACCTCTAAACATTAGATTTCCGTGCCTGTTGTCCATACGAATGGAAGTTATCAGCGAAACATTGTTCCGTATCTCTATGAGACCCATTCGAAAAAATTGACTTTGATTGCAATAGTAGCATTAAGCGTGTGAAATTTTTCTATACGAGTTTTTTTCCGATAAACGAGAACTGGTCCCCAATCTCCTAAATGCAATTTCATCACTATCTTCAGAGTAAAGCATTACGACCATCGCCTCGTTGTCCCACATGCCATATTTACGGTTTTTCACTAGAGTTCCGTATTTGCAGACAATGCGCTGGTTATGCGTACTGTCTCTGGTTGGTGCGATTGCCGCGGTGGTGACGGCACCGAGCGCATGTCCAGCGCATACATTCACATGTGACGATGGTTCATGTATACCCGAGGACTGGGTTGGAGACGGCGAAGCGGACTGCGATGACAGGTGAGCGCGAAGATTGGAAGACTCAAGGAGTGTCTAGTCGAAGTCCGTAGTTGCACGAAAAACTCCACGAGCGCATCCCATTGTTCGGTAATCCACATCGCCATAGCGGTTCTGTCCGTATTAGCGTGCACCAGGCGGATCGAATTCATCCATAGTTGAAATCCGTTTAGTAGTAACGCGGTATTACGAGAGTCGACCGTGACCGCGGACTTTGTTTCAGGTCGGACGAAACTGGGCATATGGTTGCTAATAGGACGAAAGAAGCGGATCCTTTCGATAGCGTTGTCACGACATCACCACAAAACCAGCCGGCTTCCAAAGTCCGACAACAAAGTACGTGATTGCACACTTTTTTCGGGCTAGGATCCGGCTTTAGAGAACAAATTGGAAAGTGCAAACAGCTTGCGTGAAGTTTTTATCGAAGTTGTAACATTTTCCTGCTTGGTCGCAGCAGACAGTTTCCCATAGTGAACATGAGATGACATAAGTTAGGGGGACGAATACCGACCGCTATTAGGTACTGCCTCCGCGGACTACTGGTCCTCGCACGATATGAAATAGCATGCGCTGAAGGACCAGTAGTCCGTGGACTGCTCAATAGCAAAATTTGTGTTTTATCCTCTCCAAAGTGCATATGAGACCATATTGAACAAGATCCTTTATCAAGACGGATATTGGAAATGAAAGCGACAATGGGTGCTTTTATCACGCCTATTTTTTTACTGGACATCAACATTTTCCAGTTTTCAGACTAAAATTTTGTTTTTAGCCACTGAAGAACCGAAAGACTGTCCATACGAGCATCAGCTACGAGTGGATGAATGTGCCGAGCCGGTTCTTTTGTTTTTACATGACGTTAATGCTATCTACTTTGAAAATTCCAGTCTCCTTTCCGATAAAGAAACGTGAGTCTTTTGATTCATGACCTCTATTTTCAATGTAATGGATTGCTTGAATTCGTGCATGCTTGATGGAAGCGAGGTGGGGGGGGGGGGGGGGACGGTAGTCAGACATGAGGGTGAGAAACGGGTATCTTTGTTAGGGACCGCCTCCGCTGACCACTGCTCATTTCGCATGTGTTATGGCATGCTATTTAAGGAACAGTACGCGGAGAAGGTGATTATGGGCGGTAATTGATTTATCGCCCAAAGAGCTCATTTCTTTCGTAATTTTCGTATTTATTCCTAACCATCCATCATAGAAAACAGTGACTTGCAAAACATATTAAAGTACAGTGCTACTCGAAAAAAATTATTGATCCGGATTTAACTTTGGATTACTTGGTTCGATTTTGGAGCTGATTTTATCGCATTGTGATTATACTAGTCTTAGGGCAGCGTTCAGAGTTACCCATGTGGCGAAGCTTACCAGCTCCGCTCCAGCGCCGTGAAGCGAATTGCACGCGCCCTCGTATCGATCGACGTTGCGGCACGGCGTTAGCACGGCGCTGACATACCCTGACACTCTGGACGCAGCATAAAAATACACTAACAATAGTCGCAATTAGTGAATATGGGAAAGGGATTAGAGAATTAAATCTAATTTCACTAAAGGGGCACCAACAATTTTTTTCAGTCAAACAAGAGTGGAGAAGGGCTGTACCCTTATGCAAGAGTACACAATCTGCACAAAAGGAGCTTCGGCAGCTTGTAGCGCCGACGAAGGTGTTCAGTCATGGCGAGAGGTGAGTGTGAACGAATAGGATAGCAAGGCTACCAAAAGTAGTTCAAACATCTTGAAGATCTTACAATTGCATAATCTCATAACGAGTCTAGGAAATTAGCAGAAAAAATCGATTTAGAATTGACTTTTGTACCGATAAATAGTTATATGTGCAAGGTTTCTGTCTCTGAGATAGGCGTTCGAAAAATGAGAGGATTTTTTTTTGATTTTTCCGTGGGCAATGATCGGTTCACATACTAGAAATCAATATAAGAGGGGGGGGGAGAATTTTTTGGATGAAGGGGTGTGATACAAGCTACGCTTTTCGAAAAGGTATCTCGCGCGCTTGTACCGAAATTTCCAAAAAAACTGGCGTGAGCCAAACACTCGAAAATGTTTGAGATTTTTCATAAAATCATTTTGATTGTTCACGAGTGCAGACAAGTCGCATTCACACATCTATAAGTGTGTAAGCTACTTGAAGTTTGGGATTTTTGTGGAAAATGAAAGGCTCTTTTCCCGACCACCTGTACATACTACAGGGTGTCCTTGAAGTATGTATACACTGCTTGATCGTTAATATCTTTCTTCCCAACAAGTCTTTTGCCTTGCTTCAGGTATCGTTTTGTAGAGCTGGATTCAACTTAGATTTACTGTATGGAGCAAATCACCGATCGCTCGTCATTACTGTAGGATTACGGTAGAAACTTGAAACTATGGTGTCAATGTGGAAAAAGCTGCCGTCTCAAAATTTTTCAAAAAAAAATATGAAAACTTGTGTAATAGCGTTTTTAAGAACGCTGAGTTCAATACTCAACTATTCACAAGATTGCGAAGCTTTCTAAACGGTGTAACCGCACTTTTTAAGAACATTGAAAAAATGGCCGCTACCTCTTACCCGGCATAATTCTTCAATGAAGCACCATAATAAGTTGGGAACTTTACAATTAGAATCAGCAACTCTAGTTAGGCTAGTGTAAAAGCTTGGCTGTTTTGTTTCCTTTCTGAAGCAAAATATAGAGCAAAATATAGCAAAATAAAGCACCTTTCATGGCTCAAAACCCTCTTTGAAGTTTCTACCGTAATCCTACAGTAATGAAGAGAGATGGGCGAGTCGTTCTATACTGCAAATCTAAGTTGAAGCCAGCTCTACAAAACGTTACCTGAAACAAGGCAAAAGACTTGTTGGGAAGAAAGATATTAACGAACAAACAATGTATACATACTTCACGGACACCCTGTATGAATACTTGAAGATACAAAACAATCTTTTCCATCTTCAGAAGTATATAGTTATTTTTTTAAGGTAGAGATGTATGCATGCCAGTTGCTCATCCCTGCCGTACGCGAACATCGTCAATGCTTTGGTCGACCTCGACATAGTAGCTGTGAAGTTAGGCAAGTTACTGGGCATCTTTTGATATAATACCGCTCACAGAACGTGCTACAGTCCGTGTCAATCTCGTGCTCTCTTTTCCGTGAACGCAATGAGCTTCGCGCGCATATGACTCGCTCACTCAAATGGGCCTCATCGATTGGAGGTCCGCACGCAGGGCCCTTGCGCTGCGCATGCGTAGTTCTTATGCAAAAGGGAGTACGTAATTGACATTGAATATCAATGTGAATGTCGAAACAAACTGCGGCATTTTATTGCGCAATACCCGCTCAAACGCCGCGAAATCCCGCGGATCACGCAAGTTACGCAGACCCATGAATTCCTTCACAATGCTTGAATTTTTCGAAAGAAGCGTTGTGCTCAGCTCATCAAAAATAGCCAATTTATCGCATTATCGAGTCATCTCGACGATCTTGGAACTTTTGCACATTCTATGAACAGTATATGTATAGCAGTCTCACTGATCTATTTTAGATTTGACCCGCTTGCTTCACCTTTCTGTCGTCTGGTCACCTCCGTTACACAAGATGTGAACTGCATCCAAAAGTGAGTGCATACAAAATAATCAATAAGTCCGAGAGTCATGTCTCCCTCTTGACAATAAAAGCCATTTGCCAGCCAGCTAAAATAAGTTCGTATTGCTTCAAATATTCAAACTTTTCGTTCAGGCATCACGAGGGCTGCACAGAGGCTGCGTTAGAGATGCTCGAACCAATTTTGGAAGAATCTCAACAGATTACCTCCTCCCTCAGATGCCGTTCTCCAAGCGATCTTCCTGCTCATGAACCCACACATGAAAGCACCCCTGAAGACACCGTATGTTCTTTTCTCAGAGGTCGGACGAGCTTGTACCATGGAATTATTGAAGAACCCCCCCCCCCTTTAGATCGAAGTTTTCACAAAGTCTCTTATGGAATTTTTCAAGCTTCACTGATATCTAGAGTATATGTTTAAGCAGAGATAAATTGTAAGTCAAAACAGGTTTAAGGCGATTGACAAGCATGAGCGTGTACCGAACAACCGGTAAGACTTTCGCTCGTTGATTCGCTTAGGAGCGCGTAGTGCGATAGGAGCACGACTGCGCCACCGTTGGAATTATAAGGGTATAAAGAGCGTAAAGGAAAAAGTAGTGAACCTTTTTCTGCCCGTATGAAACTTTTGTTAGGGATATGTGCCCAAACGCGGAAAAACAACATCTCTTTTGCTTTCCTCATCTCCACTAGCGCTCAAAAAATATCCAGCTCAATGCGGTGCCAGCCGTTCCACACCATTATTATCCTAATCTGATGATTCTCCTTATAAGTTGTTGAGAATTTCAGGAAGAGCCGACAACCGAAATGCGAGAAACTACAACTGAAACTACGCCTATAATGACTACAACTGCTTCAACCGCACCTCGTACCCCCCATCTCGTCACTTTACCTTCGACGACTCGCAGAACGATGGGACCAGTAGTGCAAGAAACATTGGCACCGCATGAAGCCACTACAGTTCACATGCCTTCCGAAAATCTAGGAAGGGTGGGGGTTTTTGCTCTTTTCACATAGCAAGCCGACACCAAGCTAAGGGCGATTCAGCGCACGCAGAGACCAAACGTCTTGCGCGTGACAAGGTTGCCTCAGAGGAGGTAGTAGACGGCGAGAGAAAAGAGCTTGGTTCGGAGAAAGACGCAGACACCGTCGCAGTGACGTACTCTGCGTGCGATGATTCGCGCATAGCTCTGCTCTTACGTGATTGGTTCTCTCATCACCATCAACCAATCATGAGTATAAAGCAAATACCTTTTACAGGAGCTCAAAATCAATATGAGCGATGCGGTCAACGCTTTCTATTACATTTACGATGTATGCTCGTCCGACTACTCGAAATCGCCCTTCGCCAGGGTTGCAGCTAAGCTCTGTATGAAACAGGATGAAATCGCTAAATATAGCGACTGTTATCAAAACACATTGGAAAAACAGAAATGCACAGCACGGGTAAGACTCGAAAATCTTCTAAAAATCTTCACCAGAAAATCTAATTTTGCATTTTTAGGACGTTAAAACCGAATGTGAAGCCTTGGAAGCATTCAACGCAAACCTTGACTGCTCTATTGTGACCATGAACGATGTTTGCGAAGTTGAAGCCCAAAACACGGTATAGTATGATTGGGGACCAGTTTTCGCTTACCGAAAATTCATTGAACCCTCTGCTGTTTGCAGGTGATCGAGCTACAAGAGGCAGTAAATGATATTTTAATCGAACGGAAATGCTTCGAACAAAAGGAAAAAGCTGCTGAACCAAAAACACCTGCTGATCCAAACGAATTCCATCTCGATACGAAGATGACACATTGCACAGATGAGCAAGTGAGTTACCGAAAAACGTAATAAAAACTTTATAGATCTCTGATGCTTTTTAAGAAATAAGAAGTGAGGGTGTCGATAATAATACGCATTCATTGGTAAACTAAATGAAAGATTTGAAATCAGCGAGAATTGGTCCCCATTTTGTGTTGTAGGGGATCAGTTCTTTCCGAACTCAACTAGTTCGATCTGTTAATGTGTGTCAATACCCTCTTTTTTCATCTCCAGACAAGCTTCAAAGTGTCCAGCAAGAGCTGGTCCCTATGCTATGTTCAAGGGGACCAGTTCTCGCCAGATTCAACTCGTTTGTTCGACTTGCTAATGTTTATCAATGTCAACGCCCTCATCCTTCATCTCTAGGTTCAGCGAGAACTGGTCACCATATTGCGTTCTCCATCACAACATAATGGGACCAGTTCTCGCTGAGTTGACAATAGCGAAAGACCTCAGAATAATGTTAGTAATCTAAGTTGTCGCATTAGCGAAATCGTTACTTACCTTCTGAAACTAAATCTATTTGATTTAATCATTTTCAGGAAAACGGAGCTCTAGCATGCTTGGTAGAGTTGGTGGAGATAAATAAACAACTGGCTCAATTCCAAAACCTCAACTTCTTACTTGAGGTATCGTACCATACATCCTGACTCATTATTTTAGTGACGAATTTAGATCGCCACCGAAAACTCGACAGCAGTGGCAAATATCTGTAAATTGTATGACAAATATGAGAAATGTCTGAATGCCAGCGTTTTCTTTGACAACAAGCGCTGTGCCTTCGCTAGTCCACTCAACACTCTCGCAAGGTTAGTTCCCGTCTGGGATTTCTATTTTAAGTTTGAAGGGGTTTTGAATAAATTTCTTTTCGTAGAATTGGTCTCGCTCCCATCTGCTCTATCGACTCCGGTCCTCTGCTGTCGTCACACCGTGACTGCCTTGTCAAGCTCGCATCTCAGGCTGGAGCAGAGTCATCAAATTGTCAGAGTGGACTGTCTGGACTCGGAAATACCGTGAATATGATGCTACAGGTGCGAAAGTACATGAAAAAGGCTTTTGCAAAGGAAAAAAGGGGCGGGGAGAGGCGGGGTTGTCAGAGGGGCGTGACCGCCAAAATTATACCCTTCTGACAACTCCGCCCCTTATGCTCTCCGTGGCCATCCTCGGCACAACAAAACGTTGTATTTTTTGTTTGAAAGCTATAATCTATTATTGCAGGGAATACATGGCGAAGCACTGCTGTGCAAGTCTTTCTACCTTATCCGGGACACCTTTGCCTGCGGCGAAAAAGCCGTGGAACAACAATGCGATGCTAAAGCTTTGGAAGATCTTAGCACACTCAAGAAACAGGTAGGTCAAACAGAAGATGATTGGCGATCATCAATAACATGTAACCAGTGACAACGAAATCTCGCGGGATTTGCGCGATTTGGCCATAGCTTTATGTAGAGCAAATATAGATCTCGGTGGATTTGGATTCAGCTCGGGTTTGGTATATAATACCACCGTAAACCATGGGTATACTGTAGGCATATGGTGACATTAGTAGTCTTGTTCTCGATGGTGCAATTGAAAGATAAACACCTTTATACCTGCAATTGTATCTGCCCCAAGAAATTCTGCCAAATCCCGCTGTCCCACATATTCCGCGATAATGGTCATATTCCGTTGTCAAAATTGTAAAGCATGCCTGTACTGTTTCAGATGAGTCAAATAGGCGAAGAAGAGGGATGTCCCAAAGTGCAGCCGGCAAACCTCGACGAGATCATTGCCAGACCTGTGAAGCGACCAACGCCACCGCCGATACCATTGCCAAAGTAGGAGCTCGAAAAATCGAATATGTGATTTTTCGGCATGGCCTTAACAGAATCAAAGTTCTAGACGACCAGACACAGCACCAGTGGCTCGCCCGCTGAACACTGCAGCTCCCGTTAATGGCAGCGCCCAAGTTGTTGATATGTCAGCGAGTCAAGAAACTAATGGGCAAGCATCTTCTGCGCCACCACCAGCACCGGCTTCTCCACCCCAACCGCAACCTCAAGCCGTATGCGCACCTGAGCAGCAAAAGAAGTAAGCTACACCAGAAACTTTGGTCTACATTCACTTTTATTATATATGAGTTATCGATGCTATCGAATTGTGGGAAAATAGTAGCTTTTTTGGCTCTTCAAGCTTAATATTTCTTAGATCTTAGGGCACTTATGAAGCTACAAATTCATGTTAGAATAGGCGATTCATCGCACGCAGAGACAGGACGCCACTACGGACGCTGTCGGCGTTTCCCCTGTCAAACTGATCGCCCTCACCTTACCCTAACCGTCTGCTGTCTCTCAAAAACAAGAACTATCATGATCGGATGGAGCGGCGCCCAGTCTCTGCGTGCAATAACTCAAAAAATATTGCTATGTAAAAAAAATATACAATGTTATACCCATACGTCCTTATTGATGTTCGCACTGCCACAATCCAGGAACTCACATTATTTACCATTTTTGAATATTTTTTTAAGGTTTGAAGAGTGTGTGCGACCTCTGACAGCCTTCCAACCGCATCCACTCTCTGTGATCAAGATTCCAAGACAGATCGATGAAGCATGTGAAGAGTTCGAAAAATTCAAGGTAAAATCACTTTTCGAAGATGCATGGGGGAAATAGTAACCAGTACTGATTCAGACGTGCGTTTCGGATGTGCAATGTCGCCCACTATGGGCCACAGGCATGACTGCGATGTTTTCGTATGCTTGCGGTGAAGGCAGTGAAGGCTACAAGAAGGTTGGTTTGCTCGGAGTTATCGGAAATTCATTAATGGGAAGTAGTGACGGTTCGAGAATTTTTTTGGGAGAGGGAAGGAGGGGGGGGGGGGGGAGGGGGGAGGTTGCAGTTATGTCGAATAAATGCCTTTTGAAAAAGGTTTTTGGGGTGCTCTTCTATATATTAGGTCGTTAGTAATGTCGCTTTTTTCAATTGAACGCTACATTTAGTGGAAGCAAGGTTTCTAGAAGGTCTTGGTAGCATTCGATGCAGCATTTCATTCTCTTTCTGATGGCTATAATTCCACTGCAGAATACTTGATGAGCTTTTGAAAAATTACTAAAATCTTTAACCCATGCTTTTTGGGAAGGTCAAGTTTCACAATTTTTCTAATTTTTTTTAATGACTCCCGGTAGGAGTCCAAGTAATGGATGGATAGAGCAAACCCTATAGGAAACGGTGCTATTTTTTTCTGCTCTCGGTATCTCGTCATAATTTTTGTAGAGATTTTTCAATGAAGTCACCGAATTTTTGCAGGCTTGTCTCAAACACATATGCATCAAATACCAATAAACTTTCGGATTCTGAAACTTACAAAGGTGGATTATGGTTTAACACTAATTTTACAAGGCATATGAGCATTTACCGCTTCCGATTAGCAACTTTCGGAAATTTTGGGTGCAGCGTGGGGCGCCCTGGAAAACCTGAATTATGATGATTTTTCCCCGGACGACTGTATGAATCGGAAACCAAAAACAACTGTTAAAAAGAGGAGAAAAAGCTGCGTTGAATGACACCCGAGCTGCTTGCCGGTTGTTGTTCTGTGAGGTCTGAGTTGACCAAATATGGAATTTGACAGCAATGAAAAATTGGTTCTACAAACTCTAAGAAGCAAACTAAGAAAAAGAAAAAATTGTTTTGTGTCCTATAGGGTTTGCTCTATTTATCTGTTACTTGTACATCTTCGGGGAATCAGTACAAAAATATAGAAAAATAGCCGAACTTGACCATAACAAAAAGCGTAAGTCGCAGGTTTCAGTAATTTTTTGAGAGCTCATTGAATATTACGCAATGAGATTACAACCGTTAGAAAGAGGACAAAATTCTGCATCGACTGATCCCAAGAGCTCTTGAAAATCTTGGTTCCACGAAACGTGGCGTTCATTTGAAGAAAGCGACATTACTTTCGGAACGACCTAATATGTTTCCGCTAAACCCACGAGCTCGAAAATTTGAGGCAACGGGATCTGGCAGCAGCCATGCCCCCGAAAACAACTTTTGACAGAGTGTCTCTAGAAATTGTGAAAGTCATATCAACTGTCGACAAGTAGAAATTGATCCTTTGCTTTTTTTGTAACTCACGTAGGCCCCTAAAATTTTTGTAGCAGCCAGATGGGATAGGTTACGAAGTTTTCCAAAACTACCTACATGAATACAAATAAATTAAATCAATTACAAAAATAAAGTAAGTGAGTAAAGAATTCAACTTGCACTAATTATAAATCATCATAGTATAAGTTGTGCAAGCGATTTTTCCGTAGATAATTGAAATAGTTTTAGTTCAAAATCAAATTAGTTTCCTTCAAAGACAGGAACGTTGACACTTGGTCTGATTTTTGAGTGCTTTGAATTACCTTGCAAATTTTGTAATAAAAACTAATGGGCTGAATGATGATGCTGTAACCTACTCTTTTGGAAAAAACTGAATAAGATGAACGAATATCGATTGAGTTGAAAAATCACGCTATTTTGTGCTACAATATAAAAAAATTCTGCAGGTCCGCCAGTGCCTCAGGAAAATCTCCTCTGAAGATACTGTCAAAGAATGCGTCACGACATTCTCGCGAGGTGCTCCCACTCAAGCATGCCTTTCGGCTAATGCTCTGTTGACTTGTGCTATAGCCCCTATTCAGGTAAATGTTGATTTTATAGTTGTTCTCAACCCAGTAGCCTGATCACCATTTGGAATTTAAACTGGAGCAAGCCCGTTGCGGTAGAGCACGACATCCGCAGCACTACAGTTTGCATTAGTTACTACCACGCTCTATTGCGAACGACTTGCTCCAGTTCAAATTCGAAATTGTTCATCGGATGTCTGTTGGGATGATGATGACTGCATCTAGAAGCTTCGAAATTCTAACAACGAATGTTTCCAGACGGAATGCGGAGAGGAGACATCAGATTGGGTAGTGAAATATGTGACGAAGTTTGCTACTGCTATAGATCCTCGATGTAAATTGGCTAGTCAGCTGCCAAGTAAGTGGATTTTTTATTTCTACAGCTTTGCCAATGATCCAACTATTCGAAGCTTTTTCCAGTCGGCAAAGTGATCGGTGTCGGCTGCACAGCTGAAGAGGAGGCTGTCATCGAGCACTGTGCTGCTCCACTGAATGACATTGGTGCGCGAATGGAAGAACTTTTCCAGGGAGGGCTACAGGCAATGATCAAAAATGTCAATAGTCTGGCTCCCGTGTTTGCTGGAGGATGCAATCTAACAGGTGGGGAGAGTATGGCTCTACAGTTCGTTTCAACCCACTTCAAGCCGAATTGGATTGGCGCGCGTCTGCTTCGCAACATGTCGCGCCATATCGCAGCGACAGTACACCATATCGGGACGGGACCTCGTTGCGTCTTGCCTCTAGCGAAGCGGACGCGCAGCTGCACGTGAATTACTTCAACCTACTACGGTTGAAACAAGCTGTACTCGATTTTTTTCCGGACTTGCTCAATTCTGGCCAAATTCAGACGAGTTCCGGCAATGTGCATCGTTCTTATTTACTGGCAGAACACCTTGCGTTGTTTCTTCTTGTATGATTCATGCTGGTGATGGAATTTGTGACCAACCCGATCCGACCAAAGCTATCGACGATAACTTGAGCTGCGTCTTCGCGCAGGTATTTTCACCCTCAACCCTACTGGGATATGCTATCTGTAACCTTTTTTACCATACAGGTTCAAGAACCCTCCTTTGCCAAGTGTGTTCGCTCAATCCTTACCACAGTCAAGCAGTTTACCCTGAACTCATTCCGCAACATTCTGCCCAAATTTATCGACTGCACAGAAGAAATTGTTATGGCAAAATGCGGAGAGACTCCCATCAAGGTAAAGCTTTTTTGGCTCTAAAAATCAATCAGTAGTAGAGTGTGTGTGTGTGTCAAAGGCAGCTTTGCAAAAGTTCTCCGCTGCACGCAACGCACGCCGATGAAGCGCCCAGTCTAACTTTTTGAATTTTGGGCAAATCCCACATAAGGAGGTGGAACGATATTTACATGCTTGCATATGGTTTGCATTGGCCATGCCCACAAAGTGCCATTACCTAGACCTTTGCATCCACGGAATAAGAACAGGAAAAAAGCAAAACAGCCTTTATTTCCTAGGAAAGGCTTGATGGCAGTATGAACTCGCGTTGCGTGTGCGTCGTGGAGATACTTACAGGAAGGATGATTACACTCTATTTCCACTATGTGCTTATAGGTCCTGCGAGCCATGTCTTCACCCGATATTTGCCCAATTGGCCCTGCACCTATCGTACCTGTGAACAAACCTGAAAGGGTGGAACCACAAGTCCCCACTTGCACCCCCGAAAAGAAACAGGCGTTTGATCAATGTACCCAACCATTTTACACCCGTTATCGTATGCTACCGGTGACTCTGATTAATGAGATGGACAATCTGGACCAGGCAAGTCTCTATTTATAACAAAAGTTTCAAATTTAGCTAAGAATTCCGAATACTTCAGGTTTGTTCTGATGTGTCGGTCATGGATGGTTGTTCGATATCTACGAGAATCTGTTCTACAAACGAACAGACAGCTCTGAAGAAAATGATCGAGCAGTTGTGCGCTTCAAGACAAGCCTACGATCATTACAAGATTTGTCTGAAGACGGTCGCCAGCAGTCCGCAGGTAATTTTGTGACAAAGTTAATGGAGGCCCTTTTGGATGGCTTAGTGTGATGCTCATTTCGCCGCAGTCCCCATGAAAAATGACCAGTTAATCTTTGATTCAACGAGATTGGCGGGTGAAAGGTGACCGCTCGCAGTCTGCGTCTCCCTCGCGAACATGCTCTCCGATCATATTCTAGCCTTAATTAGGTCACGAAGTCCCGCCTTCCAGCAGCCCAATTGAATCAAGGGGTACACTAACATGATAATTGCTCCGAATGTGTAATCAATTGTGCTAACATCTGTGAACGTGACTGACGTCTTTGAATAAACGCGTGCGCCACATCTCGTGCGGTCGCTCTTGCTCCGCCCTACTCAAACCGTAGCCAATCGGCCGACCCGCTGACCAATTAAAGGCGCGGCACTACGGCGCAATTCAAAAAGGCCGTTTCCCTACGAGATGTCTTGAAAACTGAATTATCTAGGGTTCATCATGCACGTCGGAATTTATGTCATCAACCCCAGGAAGCCGTTGCTCATCGCTTCAGAACGCAGCCTCTTGTATAGCAAAACAGGTGCTGTTTCATCTCTTTTAGACGAATTTTCCCTTTGAAATTGCGAACACTTTTCAGGTGCGCGATGAATGTGGTGAAGATGCTCTGACGTACTCTTTTGCTGCAATGAATGACTATGCAAAAATGGTGGATAGCCGATGTTGGGTACGGTACTTCAAGGGATATTGATTCAACTCACAGGCAGTATTGATGATTTCAGATCGATAAGCCGTCGGTGGCTATAGCAACTGGCTGCACCGAACAGGACATGGTTGCCTATTTGTCATGCGAAAGCTCGATCGACCCATTCAGCTTCCGACCCGTCTCCATTATTGGGTAAATTCGAGCAGTAACGCAAAGAACTTTGAAAGTATTGAAAAATGAGCATCGATAACTGTTCTTATAGCGATGGCTCGAAGTGGGATGAGATGTGCACAGCATTCGCAACCTCGTACAAACCATGTGTGGAGAAGATGAAATGCCGATTTGAACCTGTGTCTTCAGCAAATATGCAGCTCTTTGATGGAATTTGCAACAAGTATGACCAACGAGCATTATTTCACCAAATGAAAACTGGTATCCACTGCAGTAGTAGGGCCTGGCAAAGGGTGACAATGACCGTTGAAAAACTCCCCTTTGAGTGCCAGCTGCAGTGTGATGCATTGAAGGCAGCGTCTCGGCAGAATTTCGTTCTCCAGTTTTTCACCTTTCCGGAGCCTTCTCGCCATTAGGAATCCATATCTGGACAGCGCATAAAAATGACGAAATGGCTTTTTACAAAGCTTTCCAAGTCTGCATTCAGTGAAGATACGCCGGAAGTCTTTCGCTCCCGCCTCCGTTCAGGGCCCGCCCACGCACACTTATTCTTCACTGAATCCGGACCTGGGAAGCTTTGTAAAAAACTCAGTTCCGCCATTTTCATGCGCTGAAAGCCTAGATATGGGTTCCTTATGGCGAGAAGGCTTCGAAAAGTGAGAAACTAGAAAACGAAATTTTGCCGAGACACACTGCCTTTGGCTTATCTTGTTCAGCTGCTTGATGCTATTCTAAAGGCCGTTTTGCACTATAGTACGCAAAAAGCACACTTGACTTCTTTCAACGCGTCGCGCCGCGGCAAATTTTCTCCTCTCAGCTTTCGCCATACTTGTCCCACTTGATCCGCTTGATCCACTTCACCCACTTCACTGTTGATCAGTTCACTGATTTGACCAATGACGAAGTGGGAAATCAAGCTTATCAAGTGGAACAAATATGGTGGGTGCCTCATCTCTGCTTGATTAGCCGCCACAGAATATGTCGCGCACGACTGCTGTTTGAGGGTCGTACTGAGAAAGGACCGAGGAAGGGAACGGGAGAGTACCCATTTACCCCTCACATCTGCTTGACCCACGATTGATATGTGGGGATTATAATTTTCCAGCTCAATTGCATCAAATCACGATTCAGGCCACTAACACTTCGCGATCAGAAATCATTCGGAAAATGTTTGTCGGACTACACAAATAGCGAGAAGGGACAGCAATGCATCGCTGCAATGGCTGCAGTTGATCCGATGGCTGCAGATGCTCCTGGAAAGATGTGCACCGTGTAGGTCCCAAAAATGACTGCATCAGCTTTCTTAGCCGGGTCCTAATAGGCACATTTGCTTCAATTTTTTTTCTTCAGACTGAACTCCGTGCTTCAATGTGCTGGGGAGGACATTGAGAAACAATGCGGCTACGATGCGTTGCTTCATGTCTACGAGCAGCACACATTGTGGGCACAAGCTTATAATAAGAGCTGCGTTGTACAGTCTCCTGAACCAAAAGTGAGTGCGATTTAAGGCTGTTCAAGCAAAATTGGACAAATGCCCTGTCTCAGTGACAGTGTCGCCGGCTCAAGCGGTTTGGCTCCCGCGTGACCGCCACGCTTAAACCTCGCGCCACATGTGCGACGTATCCTCTAGGTACTTTTCCACGCTCTGGCGGGTATGGAAAAATGTCCAGAGGATGTGTCGCAAACGCGGCGCGGGGTGCAAGCGAAGCGGTCGCGCGCGGCTCCCGCATGAGTCTGCGACAATGTTGCTGAGACATACGGCATGTCCACGTTTGTTTCGACACTGTTTTTGAGAAACCTGATTGATTTGGGGTATAAATTCTACAAGCTGGATTTCCAGTCCGTACCTTCCAATACTTTGGACCAATCCAAGGATGTGGAACCTCAACATGTTACCAAGGACGAGACCACACCCGTCGGTGTGCTTCAGAAGGACACGACACCGCTTGTCATTGGTGTGGACGTTTTCGATGTGACGACGTCAGCGGAAGAGACGACGACGACTTCGGAAATGCAAGAGACCACAACGACGCACCCAAAGGACATTACTACAATGACAGCAGGTAGGCAGAGCCAGTAATTTTTCCCTGAATTGGACGAGTTTCTTCGTTTTTAGGTGTGGCTAACTCTATGCTCAGCGCTCTACTGGTACTATTTATCGCTTTGCGAGTGTTCTAAAGATGGATTCTTCCACGTTTCGAAAACAAAGTTGTTAGAACAGAGATTTATGAGTCGTTCGACGCAATTTCACACCAGAAATTCTGTCCCACACATTCCCTCATTACTGATGATCTGATTACCGTAAACTTGCCTTCTTCATTCAAAAAATGAGCATAACGCGACCAATTCAAGGAGCTTTCCGCTTTACCACACGAATTTGTGAAAATTTCTGCAAAATCTAAGTGGAAAATCCTTCGATCTCGGTCTAATCTAGTATTCTTTCATAAAACGACATTGCAAGCGGAGTGGGCGGAGTGGGAGTGACTTTGATACGTTGTGATTGGCTCAAAAAATTTTGACCATGTGATTGGCTCAAAAAAATTTTGACCATTCACAAGTATCCTTCACCATTCTCATATCCTCTCAAACCCAAAAAATCTACTTTCTCGAGTGATTTAGAACTTACTAACTGCAGATTTACCTGTACAGTCTCCTTGCCTTACATTGCCATGTGAATGAATAATAATATATTAAAGTGTGAATTACTTTAAGCGGGATATATTGTTATGAATGAATAAATATTGCTCTGCTTGACTCATATGCTCGGAGATATTTCCATAAGATTCCTTGAATATCAGAATACAAAACTCATGCAACCTCTAGAAGGTCTATTTTTACAAAGCCGGGGGGGGGGGGGGAGGTTAGAACGGTGTTCAGCACTATAGTGGTTTCTCGAAATCCGAAAAATTGTAAGGATTTTTCTTCGAGAGGCTATAGACAATTTCAAACGTTCGCGCGATGCTCATTTCGCCGCGTACGGCGCCGCGTGGACGAGTAACATCGGAGGATCGACCGGGAACTGCTTTGATGCGTATAAGACATTTTTTCCATACCATAATCGTGCTGGGCATAATAGACGTATAAAGGTAACGCGACGTATACTGCTCTTTGCCGAACACAGTGCTTAAAGCCTGGCCAATCGTAGCAGACGCACACTACCAATCAGAGCCTTGTCGCTATGGTAAGCGCTCAAAAGGGATCCCCTAAGTGGCGGTCCTGACAGTACCTCAATGACAACTTTCTTGAGGCCAAAGAGACGCATTTCACCTTTTATTTATGTTTGCATCGGATGGGGCCTGAAAAATAGAAGTTGGGTGTTTCACCCATCAGTGATACCTTTAAGAGCAGTGGCTCGGGAAAATTGCAAGCTTTCTGTTCCTTCTTGGCCTTTTTATGCGTTTGGAGCAGAGCTGTGCTTGAAAAGTCCAAAAAGTGCTTTCCCGCCCTTGGATATTGCTGAGGAGGCTGGGAGCGGAGAATCCCGCCAAAAACAGTAACTGGTTGCAGGAGACAGTAACACCACTCATTTTGGCGGCAATGCTGATTGACCCAGGCAGCCAATCGCGACTCGGCTGTGGGAATCTCCGCTCCAGCCTCCTCAGCAATCTCCAAGCCGGAGAACGCCATAAAAAAGCATTTTTTTGACTTTTCAAGCACAGTTCCAGTCTAAGCGCATTTAGAATGCCAAAGAGGAACAGAGAGCGCGCAGTTGCAATTTTCGCGAGCCTCTGCCTTCCCTTCAAAAAAAATCTACTAGTTTTCCAACCAATAATGATGCGCAGCAAAATTTTAGGATATAAATGTTTGCTAGGGCGATGCAGAAAAAGTTGTTTTGTTGACCGATTTTCAACATTTCAGAATGACTTGAAACTCAAGTAGCTTTCCGCAATACTGGAGGTCCCAAAAACTGTAACGAATGCTTGATTTTTAAACTCTCCTCGAAGTTATGGGCCAAGTATCTCTTTTCATTACTGTAGCAATACGGTAGGAAGTACATGCATAAGGCCGTCCCTGTAAATTACACTACAAAAAATTTGCTGTATCATCGAAGTCTGGTGTGTTGGGGTTTCCAGACTCGCTGATTACCAAATCGCTTCGAACAGTTTGTAGAGCGAGATAATGTGATCGTACTCTGATGAGTATTTAGACTACTGTATACCAATCGCGGATCGCAGAAGGGGCAGTTCCCCCCCCCCCCCCCCGAGAATGAAAGTCTGCCTTGAATGCGCTCAAAAACTATTTCAGATCTTTGTTCCGCGGTGTTACGCTCGTTTGAAAATTGATATTTGTTTAATTTATTTGCTGCGATCTAGACTGAAAAAAAACAGGTGATAGGCGACGTTGATACCTGACTGATTAAGTAAATATTTTTGAGAAATTAAAATAAGACTTTCGCCTCGTTCTCGTTTTTGGCCTATCATATAACAAACCCGCGGCACGCACGTCATGCAATAATTTCTGCAAAAATCGTTATATGATATCCAAGACCAGCTCATTTTCGTTAATGGAGGCAAAATGATAGCAAGCGATATTACTTTGCAATTCTTCACCTTCACTTTGACGTAAGTCGACAAGCATTGCTACCATCAGAGAAGAATTTCGGGGTGGTTTTTCTACTTTGTTCTACAAATAAATAGTCGAGCAGATTTGTCGTCAAACATAATGCCCTTACGATGCCGACGAAATTTGCGCGCGAACAAGTAGTTAAGCTTGTGATGTCGGTATTTTGCGCGCGCAAATCACCGGCATTAGTACAGGCGTAGCTATTTATTCAGCGCAAATTTGACCGCATTTTCTCGGCACCGCAAGGGCACAGGGTGTCCCAAAAAATGTTAACACTGTTCGATCGTTAATAACTCCCTTGCTTTCAAGTCTTTCGCCGAGCTTCAGGTACCATTTTGTAGAGCGAGGATAAACTTAGATTTACAGTATCGAGCGAATCATCTAGTTCTCCTCGTTACTTTAGAATTACGGTAGGAAATTTGACAAGGATTTTAGGCCATTAAAGCCCATTTTTTGCTTTGAAACAGAGCCAAACAAGCCAAAATCTCTTGTACTATGGTAATGAAAGCCGCTGATTTTGGATATGAAATTTTTATTCCATTATGACACTTCTTTTCAAAGTTATCCTAAGTAAAGTGTAATCACTGACTTCCCAGCATGTGTCAAAAATGTGATTACACCGTCAAAAAGGCTGAAAACACTCGCAAAAAGTTGTGTAGTTAAATCAGCGTGCGCGAAAACCCTAGTACACGATTTTTCAGATTTTTTGAAAAAATTTTTGTCAGTGGGCATATTTCATGACGGTTCCACATGCTGGAATTTCCTACCGTAATTTAACAGTAACGAGGAGGGTTAGATAATTCGCTCAATACTGTAAATCTAAGTTTATCCTCGCTCTACAGAATGGTATTTAAAGCTCGGCGAAAGACTTAAAAGCAAGGGAGTTATTAACGATCAAACAGTGCTAACATTTTTTTGGGATACCCTGTATTTAACGACCTGCTCGACTGTACATGACTATCGTAATTGGTGCTCAAGTTCGTGATTTTTTTCTGAACCTAACGCTGTTTCTCTGAAATTAAGATGGACAACTAGAGAAGTGTTGAGTGCGGAATTCCTTTTTTCTAATAGCTATGTTTTCAAAGTGTACTTTTGCTAAGCATTGACACACTTGTTGGAGATTCAACCTTTCATTTTCACCATTCTTATTTGAACCTTGTGCTGGAGTTCCATTGGAGAATGGAGCATTTTTCCGCATCGCATCTTTGAAGAATGAACAATAGGTACTTTTCCGTCATACGGACCCATTCTTTCAAAAGTTCTTCAAAAATACGCGCTTTAGTTTGAAAAGAAAATCACAGATTCTATGTATCAAGTTGAACCGAAAGCTCGTTCGCAACATTTTCAAAAAATCGTAACTTCTTTCTCTTACGATAGTCCTACCCGGAAAAAATGATCTTAGGAAGAGCAAAGCGTTTACTTTCTACAGGCACCTTGCCTGCTCTTTACGAAGCTTTGTGGCTGAGATAAAATTGGGAAAATGAAATCACTTCACTTTCGGAATTTTGAGGAAAGCCTGTTAAAAATTCCATAACTACGTCATAAAATCCAAAACAGGCTGTATCCTAGACTATTTGACCCTCTCTTTCTAGTGGAGCGAATTCCCGCTGATCGGACTCTCCTTCGAAAAGTTATGATTTTTGAGAAAAAATGCCAAATCAGTTCCTTAAGAAAACTGATTTTTGATATTATTTTTCAAGATATCATAACTTTTTTCAAAAAAGCTCGATCAGCACGAATCTTGCTAAGCTAAAAAGAGGAAATCTAAAATCCTAGGATACTGCCTGATTTGGAATTTATGGCATAGTTTTGGAAATTTCAACGGGCTTGCCGCAAAATTCCGAATTTGAAGTGATTTTCTTTTCCCAATTTTATCTCTGCAATCGAAGCTTAGTAAAAGGCAAGCAAGCTTGCCTTTGAAAAGTAAACACTCTACTCTTCCCAATACTATTTTTGTCGTTCAGGATTATCGTAAGACAAGGAAGTTACGGTTTTTTGAAAATGGTGCGAACAAACTTTTGGTTCAACCTAATATAAAGACCTTCTTCCTGTTATATGTCAAAAAACTCAACTTGACATGGTTCAAAATCATTATCATTGAGGAACAAAAACATTCAAAATTAGAAGCTGCTCAAAGTTTTTTTTATAAAACAAAACAATCCAAAAAGTTATAAGAGCATCCTGGTCGCTTCTAGCAATGATCAAAAGTGATTTTTCTCTTCGTTTTCGCTATAGAAGTTAGCCAGGAAAGATTATAAAGATGGCTTGGAGTGCCTTGCAGCCAACTGTTTCGCCTTGTAGATGATAGAACCATAGCGTACTTCTTTGTTCTGGGCAAATCCAATGTGTTTATTGAAAACAGGATTACTTCCTTATAATGTTAATAATAATTTTCAAATTTGTAGAGCCAAAGGGTCATTATTGATTAGATAACAAATTAATTTTGAAACTGAACAATTTGAATTGTACGTTATTAGGTAGACAACGTTTCTTTTTGACGTAAAAGAAAGTGGCAATCACTCCTGCGAAGTTCCAGATATGGAACAAGGAAAGAAGCAATGTCTCCTTTTGAACAATGGGTTCGGAAAGCGGAAAAGTACCAATTTCTTACATTCGGTCTATTTAACCTGAGTAGTCGGCTGTTGAGCAACTTGGATAGCAATAGCTGTCACTTTCCTTCTCACGATTATTTTTTCTATCAAAATCTCATATATCTTTTTTAGAGGCTCGGATGAGGTGTAATATATCTGATGTGAGATCATTGAAAGTAGAATACGCAAAACTTGCCCATAAGTAGGTAAATTGGCAGAACAATCATATAATCGCCTACACGATTCTGAATAGCACTTGCTAACTAAATAAGCACTGTAATTCAGTTGATCGACTGAAT